ACCCTTTGCCTCCATAGGGGCAGGACACCCAAACTGTTCCTGGAGAGTGGTTTAGCCCAAATGGAAATGCCCTTCCCTTCCCAACTCCTGGAGCAAGATGAGGGAGAGGATGGAGGGGTTGAGAGCCTCACCCTTTGGTCCCAGACACACTTGAGCCAATCTGGGCAGCAGAGTTGTGGTTAGGAGCCACAGTGACTCTGAAGCCAGGGTGCCTGGGTTGAAATCCAGCTCTGCCACTAGTAAGATGTGTGCAAGTGACTTACCCTCTCTATCCTTGGGATATAGCAACATCGGTGTCATGCATTGTGAAGGTTCAAGAAGTTACCGCTTGCAAACTCTTGGAACAGTGCCAGCACATAATAAGTACTCAATAAGTGTAACTATGTCAGAAGACATCACCCTCATATTAGTCCTCTGAACCGGGGGGACACAGACTAAGGGGTGCGGAATCAATACCTGCAGTTAAACAGGTGTGGGAACATCAATAGTGAAAGACCACTGATACTAATATAATGAAACCACCTCTCAGCCTCAGGATGGAGCACATAGTAGGAGTGATAAGGACTGTGACAGAAAAGAAAGTCAAAGTGCTCTGTGAAGAAGGAAGTCACTGCCCAGCTATAGCCAGTTATTGATATGCGAAAATGTGGGTCATGTTGCCGCATCTTTGCATTTTCCAAAGAGGCAGAAAATTCAAAGTTTTATGTGAAATGTACTGATTTTTAAGTATGGCAATTTATTCAGTTAAAAAAAAAAACCAAACAAGCAAACAGAAACTGTGTAGGCCAAACTAAACTCTTCTGCAAGCCTCCAGAGTGCAATTTCCCTAGGGACTCACCGCCCCAGGGCCAGGCCGGGCTTTGGCAGCCCAGCCAGCAGCCCTGGCTGCATGCTCCTTACTGTCACTGTCCTAGGCACTGGGGATACAGCGGCCAATACAAGAGCCGAAGACCCTGTCGGGCGGATCTGATGTTAGCTGTGTGTGCTGAGGCAGGTGTGGGTTGTGGCGGGAGGGAGAGTAAACACGTAAATATCCTGGCAGAGGCTGTGAGAAATGGCAGGGCAGGGGTGCCAGGAGGGCCAAGACCCCAAGGCAAGGGTAAGGGGTCCGCGGGTCAGAGCCAGGGACAGCATGGAGATGTGCCTGGATGGGAGAGTGGGTGAAGGGAGCTGGCGTGGGGAAGTGAGCAGGGGCAGGCCCTGGCTAGGCCTCTTCTCCTGGTGGCCACACTCTCTGACCCCCAGACGCGGGCCCAAAGGAGCTGCCTTCTCTTTAGCAATTTCTGATGTTTGCTATCCCTTCTGCCACTCCCTCACATCTCTGGACAGAGAGCCCTTTGCATGCTCCCAGGACTCCTCTGTGTAACACACACACACAATATCAAACTTCTTGAGGGTAGAAAGCACATCTTATGCAACTCTGGGTTATCCCCACCTCTATGTTCACCACAGTGCTCAGGAATAATACAAAAACACAGTGTCAATGTGTCGAACTGAAAGAATAATGTCGCCTGAAGCATGTTACTTGCGTCTCATGCCTTGCCTTGGTTTCCTTGCCTGTAAAATGGGGATAATAAATAGTCTTGCCTCACCAGATTGTGTAGAGGAGAAAATGAGTTAAAGGATGTAAAAACTGGGAGCCCAGGTAACCTAGACCTTGAGAGACCACCAGTGTTCCTGGGTTTTAGGGGTTTCTCCTGTTGTGAGCTGGGTGCCCCTTGAGCTGCTGGGAAAGACCCTTTCCCTCCTAGGCCAGGGGAACCCCCACTGGGTTCCCTCCTGCCACCATGGGCCTCAGGTTCCTCCTCTGAGGAGAGTTGATGGGGGAAGAGGGGCTGGGAGCACAGGCTGTCACAAATCCTTCCTGACAGTGCTTGTCCCCTCAGCCCAAACCCTTGTTGCCATGAATTATTTCATTGAAGCTATTTTTAGTCTGTAGGATGGTCCCTCTCCGGGTCTTCCCTGCAAGCCCCTGCTCCCACCCCAGAACCCAGAGCCCCATCCCAGGGTGAGTCCAAACAAAGGGGACCCCCAGGGGACCAGCAGCTGCCAAATCTGAGATAGGGCTTTCCCGACACAGCTAGCTGAGCCCCTGCGATACGGACAGCAGCCAGAAATCCAGAGCCCCTCGCTAGCATCTGGGTTCCCCCAGATGACCATCTCGCCTGCCGGCTCCCACCTGAGACAGGGAGAGGGGCATCGTCTCAGCCTCCTCTCTGCTCCCACTGCTGTCCCCTTTTTTCCCAGGCTGTGGGAGGCAAAGGGTTAAATCCCATAGAGCTGATGTTCTGACTCCAGGCTAGAGGGGCCCGGGAAGCTGGGGTCACTTCCTGCTCCGTCCCAGTCACCCTGAACTGGTCCCCGGGTCTTCAGCCTGGAATCACCCCTTGAGAAGGACCCCAGAGTCCCCAGCATCTAGCCCGCCCCCCGAGGCAGGGCACTTAAAGGGTTAAGTCCCTTGGGGCTGGATTCTGCCTTCCGGCTTTTCCCAGACCCCAGAGCCGTGAGTTGGGGACGCCTGGGTTCCCGGGGGAGGGGGGTGGCCTGGAGGGCCCGGGACGGCCGCGGGGGAACAATGGGGCCCGGGAGGCGGCGACCGGCGCCTGGGCTCGAGCCCCCCGCCCCCGCCCCATCTGCCGGGCAGGGGTGGGGGCCGGGGCAGGGGGCCGCGCGGCCGGAGGATTCTGGGAAGAGCGCGAGGGTCTGGCCGTGGGGGAGGGGGAGGGCGTGAGCATTCTGGGAAGAGGGAATGCGCTCGGCGGGGCCGGGGGCCGGCGCTGCGAGCCGCAGTTCTGGAAGGAGCCGGGCGCCGGGGGAGAGCCGGGAATACTGGGTGCCACGGGGCCGGGGGACGGGAGGATGCCCAGGCTCTGGATTGGGAGCCGGAAAGAGGGTCGCTGCTCAGGTGGAGCAGAAGTCCAAGGTCTGGCCTGGAGCGGGCGCGGCGTGGGAAGCCAGGGGCGAGGGTGGCTGCATTCCAGCTGCCTCCATGTCAGGGTCACCCTGGGCCGCTCCCCACACCTCTCCCGCAGGCAGGCTCCTCCTTCCCTCCCTCCGCAGTGGTGGGGCCATCGGGAGGTCTGAGGCTGGTGCTCTTAGCTCCAAGCACTTCTTGCCTCCTTCGGTCTCCATGTTGGCCTTATCATTAACTCTTTCCCCTCTACTCTGGACCACCGAGTTTGAATTTTTCAATCAAGGTACATAAGCTTCTACCTGTCCTCAGCAAACAGGGCAGGGCACCCTTCCCAGCCTTCTCAGAACAGTCAGGCAGCCCCCACTGTGGCAGAAGTTCCTGCATCCACCTCCCCAAAGACACTTACGGATGGGGGAGGGGGGATTTGCAGAGCCTAAGTAGCTGCAGAGGTGAAAAAAACTTCCTAAAATCTAACTTCTGTCCTTCCTACTGCTTTTCAGCAGGGTGCAGCTGGCTCTTGCTTCACCTTGGTCACCTCCAAGCCACCTCCTCACGAGTCCTTGCATGTCGCCCCTGTGCACACAGTGCCCATCCCACACAGCCACCCAAAGCCCAGGCCCTAACAGGGATTCTCTGGAGGGGTCTAGATGTTATAGGAAGTCCTCCTCTTGTGGCCTTGTTCCATTATCCTGGAATCATTTCTGGAGTGACAGCTGGCTGTGTTTTATGGGGGGGGCACTTGGAACTCCTGTTCCTTTGCTGCTGTCCTCTTGCAAACTGATGTTTAAAGGCATTGGACCAGAGAGGTTTTCCAGGAGCAAGGGGCATCTCATTCGTTTAGTCATTCAACAAAATTTCTGGAGCACCTATTATGTGCTAGGCACTGTCCTAAGGCTTGGGATACAGCCTCAACAAAACAGAACAAAAGGAGTAGAAGGAGGAGTCCCAGGGTGGGACTAATTGATAACGGAGGGCTTCGATGGGGACTACTGCTTCGAACTCTTGGATGCAGATGGTCAGGTCCAGTCACAGGTCCAACTCCTCCTGTTTACAGCCAAGGAAACTTCTGGTCCCAGAAATTTCTCCAACCTATTCTCACAGCCAGCAGGCCCAGAGCTTTCCTCATTACCTGTGTCCTGCCAGCCTCCCATGAGCATGAGTCTCACATGACTCCCAAGGTCACGGTGTGCTCTCAGAGACAGGGTCAGGCCAGACAAAGAACCACACATTTCTGGTCTTAGCTCTGCCACTTCCCAGCCTGTGACCTTGGAGAAGTCTCCCCAGGCATTGATTTACTAATCTGCAAAATGGACAACCTGATTCCTGGGTGTCCTCATGGGTTGTGGGAGGACTGGGTGAGAGAAGGGATACCCTGGCAGGCACTGTGGCAGCTGCAGGTGTTCTCCACACTCCATTCTCTTTTTCCTGTTTCCCTTTCTCCCTGCAGAAGCTCCTGAGGCTTTAAACCGCCCCTCCCCCGCCTCTGGCCTGACCCTCTTTCTGTGTTTGGATAAAGGGAAAGTGCCCTCGTCCTTTTGGAGGGCTTCTGCCCGATCTGGGAAATTGGGATGGTTTCTTTTTCTTTTTTAACCCCTTTAGTGTCCCAGGCAGCCTCAGTTCTCTCTAGGGCACATAAGGGAAAAGTTTATTGGTCTCAATTAGCAGCTCCATTAAGGAGGAAAATTAGAGTCTTAATGAGCTTCCTCTGATGAGCAAAATAACAGGTTTCCCAGCCTCTGGGCATCAGAGGTGTGGGGTGAAAACCTCCCTCCCCTGTGGCTGTCAGATACTTCTCCAGCCCCCAGTCTGGGTTCAAAGGGTTAAGGGTGATGAGTTTTTAATTACACTCTTAAATTCACCTACTTGCTTAGCTGTGATCTTAAGGTCTGAAGCAGGAATCAGGCCTGCAGGGGAAGGGGGCCACAGTGAGAACCAGTGCCCAGAAAGTGGGGTGAGAGGACACCGAAGCTCACATAAGGAGGAATGGGGGGCAGTGAGGTTCGGGGGAGTAAAGAAAAGTGCAGAATCAGCTCCCATTATGTGCTTATCTCTCTCTCCCTCTCAGGGTCCCTGGAACTCTCTGCAGTCCTGAGCTCTGGGATGGAGCCTGAGACTGTGCTGTGGGGCCCAGATTCACAGGGCCTTGAACAGAGGCCCAACGACGTTCACAGAGGTGAGGGGCACAAGAGGGACTGTGGTCCTGCCAAGATAGTGGCCCTGGTTCAGGGAGGGGCCCAGACTCTGGGGGAAACCCAGGGGAGGGAAGAGAGACAAGACCCCGTGTTCTGAAAGGAGATGGGGGCTGGAGACTCCCTTTCTCTCTGTAGGTGCCGAGAGTGGGAATGAAGAGGAGAGCCCTCAGCAGGAAAGTTCTGGGGAGGAGATCATCTTGGGAGATCCAGCTCAGAGTCCAGAATTCAAGGACCCTCCAGAGATGCCCCTGGAGAGACCCTCCCAGGATCCCTCAGTTCCCCAGGACTCCCCAACCCCACTAGGTCACTCTAGCCCCTTGGACCACCAGGCCCCTCTGGACCCCCCAGCCCCCGAGGTAGTCCCTGCTGCATCTGACTGGACCAAGGCCTGTGAGGCCAGTTGGCAGTGGGGGACCCTCACCACATGGAACAGTCCCCCCGTGGTCCCGGCCAATGAGCCCAGCCTGCGAGAGCTGGTGCAGGGCCGCCCATCTGGGGCGGAGAAGCCCTACATCTGCAACGAGTGCGGCAAGAGTTTCAGCCAGTGGTCCAAGCTGCTGCGGCACCAGCGCATCCACACGGGTGAGCGGCCCAACACCTGCTCCGAGTGCGGCAAGAGCTTCACGCAGAGCTCGCACCTGGTGCAGCACCAGCGCACGCACACGGGCGAGAAGCCCTACAAGTGCCCCGACTGCGGCAAGTGCTTCAGCTGGAGCTCCAACCTGGTGCAGCACCAGCGCACGCACACGGGCGAGAAGCCCTACAAGTGCACGGAGTGCGAGAAGGCCTTCACGCAGAGCACCAACCTCATCAAGCACCAGCGGTCCCACACGGGCGAGAAGCCCTACAAGTGCGGCGAGTGCCGCCGGGCTTTCTACCGCAGCTCGGACCTCATTCAGCACCAGGCCACCCACACGGGCGAGAAGCCCTACAAGTGCCCCGAGTGCGGCAAGCGCTTCGGCCAGAACCACAACCTCCTCAAGCACCAGAAGATCCACGCTGGCGAGAAGCCGTACCGCTGCACCGAGTGCGGCAAGAGCTTCATCCAGAGCTCGGAGCTGACCCAGCACCAGCGCACGCACACCGGCGAGAAGCCCTACGAGTGCCTCGAGTGCGGCAAGAGCTTCGGCCACAGCTCCACCCTCATCAAGCACCAGCGGACTCACCTGCGCGAGGACCCCTTCAAGTGCCCCGTGTGCGGCAAGACCTTCACCCTGAGTGCCACGCTGCTGCGGCACCAGCGAACGCACACGGGCGAGCGGCCCTACAAGTGCCCCGAGTGTGGCAAGAGCTTCAGCGTCAGCTCCAACCTCATCAACCACCAGCGCATCCATCGCGGCGAGCGGCCCTACATCTGCGCCGACTGCGGCAAGAGCTTCATCATGAGCTCCACCCTCATCCGCCACCAGCGTATCCACACGGGCGAGAAGCCCTACAAGTGCTCCGACTGCGGCAAGAGCTTCATCCGCAGCTCCCACCTCATCCAGCACCGACGCACCCACACGGGCGAGAAGCCCTACAAGTGCCCCGAGTGCGGCAAGAGCTTCAGCCAGAGCTCAAACCTCATCACCCACGTGCGCACGCACATGGATGAGAACCTCTTCGTGTGCTCCGACTGTGGGAAGGCCTTCCTGGAGGCGCACGAGCTGGAGCAGCACCGGGTGATCCACGAGAGGGGGAAGACCCCGGCCCGAAGAGCTCAGGGCGACACCCTTCTGGGGCTTGGGGATCCCGCCCTGCTCACCCCGCCGCCTGGAGCCAAACCACACAAGTGTCTGGTCTGTGGAAAGGGCTTCAATGACGAGGGCATCTTCATGCAGCATCAGAGGATCCACATTGGAGAAAACCCCTACAAAAATGCAGACGGTCTCATGGCACACCCAGCCCCTAAACCTCCTCAGTTCCGATCCCCCAGGCTCCCTTTTGGAGGGAATTCCTACCCAGGTGCTGCGGAGGGCAGAGCCGATCCCCCAGGACAGCCCTTTAAAATGCCCGAGGGCCAGGAGAGCTTCAGCCAAAGGCTGGGGCTGCTCTCCTCCAAGTCCTACATTTGTTCCCACTGTGGAGAAAGCTTCCTGGATCGCTCTGTGCTCCTCCAACATCAGCTCACCCATGGCAACGAAAAGCCCTTTCTCTTTCCCGATTATAGGATTGGCCTAGGGGAAGGGGCAGGGCCCAGTCCCTTCCTAAGTGGGAAGCCCTTTAAATGCCCTGAATGCAAAAAAAGCTTTGGCCTCAGCTCTGAGCTGCTGCTGCACCAGAAAGTCCATGCAGGCGGGAAGAGCTCCCAGAAGAGCGTGGAGCTGGGGAAGAGCTCTTCCGTCCTCCTGGAGCACCTCAGGAGCCCCCTGGGGGCCAGACCCTACAGCTGCTCCGATTGCGGGGCCTCCTTCCTCGATCGCCTGGCCCTCGTCCGGCACCAAGAAACCCACACCCAAGAAAAGTCCCCTAGACCTGAGGATCCCCTTCCAGAGCCAGCCACCTTGTCCACAAGCCAGGAAGGTGAGGGAGAGGGCCCCGCCCCCACAGGGAGCAGCCCCCAAAGGCAAGGGGAAAGCCCCAAAGCCCTCCTGGAAGAAAAGCCCTATTTGTGCCCTGAGTGTGGAGATGGCTTCACAGAAGTCGCAGCCCTCCTGCTCCATAGGAGCTGCCACCCAGGTGTCTCCCTGTGAAATGGGTCTGGAGGCCAGGGGCCTCTCCCAGGAGGAACACTGGATCCCCAAAGATATTATGTGGGGAAAGGAGGACAACCCTACCAGATTGTAGAGAAGTGGAAGATAAAGAACCCTGGGCAAAAATAGTGCTTTGACATCAGTGATGAGAAACCCTATAAAATTGTTGGTGGGAACCATTTATAAGGCAGTAGAGAAAAACTGTTGGGTTAGAAACCCTATAAATATGTAGGAAAAAAAAGCCCTGTAAGTCTGTAGCAGAAAAACCCTATAAACCATAGTGGATAAAAGCCCTATTAATTGTAGGAAGAGGTCCCAATATGTCTCTAGACAACCCTGTAAAACTGTATCAAATCCTTATCAAAATCCTATAGGGTCGGGGAAGTGCAGGAAACAGAGCAACGGCATCGACTTGGAGGAGTGACCCTCAGGTGGTGTAGCAAACACCTGCCGTATGCTTGTTCCGCAGTGTTCTCCCCCGTGGGAGCGTGAGAGGGAGCCTCCCTCCCAGCAGTTACACTTGGACAGTTACACTGAGGACAATGCCCGGCCGGGGAGTAGCGTGGGAACTGGGTGGAAGTGGAAAAGGAAGAAATCAAAGAGGAGGAAAATAAGTGGCGAGGAGCTCCCAAGCCCACACAGGAGGCAGGACCCAGGGACTAGGATGAGAAAGGCCAGCTCACTGCGCCGGGTTCCTTGGGGTAGGAGGCCAATCTTAGATGAATTGTGTGTGTTAGGGGGAGAGGCCTGTGGAATCCCTTACCAAAAAGAACCCAAAGATAGGGAATTGTCAAGCCTTCCTAAAGGCTTAAATTTGGGGTGCATAAAAACTTTGAGTATAACAATACCGAGAAACCAACACAAAAATTAGGGGAAAGAGTGGGGGGATTTCTGTTAAAGGGCTTTGAGGGAAGCAAACCAGGGTGGACAAACTGTTGAAATGGAACCCAGCAAACTCCAGGCCAGTTTCTCCTGTTCCCGGGAGCTTGTTAAACTGCAAGTACAAGCAGATCCCAGTTTGGGCCGCCAGGGTTCTCCCCGAGCCAGGCAGGACTGCCCTTTCCCCAGCCTGGCTGGAGACTTCTCTGCGAGGCCTCCAGGGATGGGGGGTGCCTCCTGCCACATTCTCAGGTCTCACTGTCAGGAGGTTTTTCCTGAAACCTAACTGCCACCAGTCTTGCTGCAGTGGCAGCCCATTTCCTCGAATTCTGTCCTCAGTGGAGAGGGAGAACCGCTGCTAGTCAACCTCCAAAGAATAAAACCCTTCAGAGACTCAAGGCCTGTGTGCAGTTGTCCTCCCTAGACTTCTCTTCTCCCAGTCAGCATGAGCCACGTATGGTTTCTCTGTGGCAACAAGGGACAGCAAGTCAACGGAATAGAAAGGCTTCATTAGCCAGCACCCTGATTTTAAACCTCAGCCCTTCATCTGAGCTGGTAGCAAGGCTGCCCGCAGGATAAGCCGACCCCAGCACGGTAGTGGGTGTCTACACACCCCCCAGACTGGACCATAGGTCCCTGGAGAGTCTGTGAAGGGCTGACCACCCTTCTCACCCCAGTACCTGGAGCCCTCTGAGGTTGTGATGACACCACCCAATCCTGGCCTTGGGAAGGGGTGGATTCCACCCTCTGGGCTCCTCTCTCCTTAGCCAGAAACCTTCAGAGGGAAAGAGAAGAATGAGAAATGCTCCCCTGCCAGGCCCACCTCCTCTCCTCACACCACGCAGTCACACACTTCCGTAGCCCCAGCCAGACCTGCTCACGTGACCGGATGTGTGGCAGGGGAGAGACTGTGGCCCTATAAGACGGTGGAAGAGAGAAAACTCTTGAGAAACATCTGTAACAAGAATCCCGCTCCCTAACCCTGGAGACCCTTACCAAAGGAGAGGACTCTGCTCAGTGCTGGGTCAGAAAGGAAGTGCTCGCTGGCACCAGAAATGCGCTATCCTGGAGTCAGAGGACTGAGATGGTGAGGTGGCCCTTCAGGAGTGGAATCCCTGGAGAAGGGTGACGTGGATTCCCACAAAGCTGTGGAAGAGACCTCTAATTCCATGACCTAAAAGTTCAAACGGTGAAAATACTTCACCCTTCATCTATCCTGCCCCCAAAGGGATGACCCTCAAATTTAAAAGGATCGAAATCTAGAACATTGTGGGAGAAAAAACACAGGCCTGCTGCGGGTAGGGAGAAAGCGGGCCTCACGATTGTGGGTTGAACCTTGGTCACATCTGCATCCAGCCCCGCCCCTCCCAAGTGCCAGCGAGGACAGCGCTGCTCCGAGGGGAGGAGCTGCCTGCAGATCTCTTTCTGACAGAAGTGTCAACAGAGGGGGTGTCCCTGTAAGACTGAGGAGATAAATCCTCCAATCCCAAGCAGATTCCCACCCCCTCTAAGATGGTAGCAGAAAGAAACTTATGTTGTAGAGACAAACCTTTTGTAAGGCTAGAAGCAGATTCCCTCAGAAACAGGTCTGAGGAATCTGCCTGCAGAAGAGTCCTGGGAGCAGCTTTTGGGGCTCAGAAGGCAGCCTTGGGGGAGGTGGTGAGTGTAGTTGGAGGCCAGCCGTAGGCCCACTGAGGACTAGGGTGTAGCAGACATAGTAGGACGCTGGCATGTTGTAGGGACGGTGAGGGCTCAGGGCCTTGGCTCTGGCACTGAATGATGTGGACGTGACTTATGGGGTCTGGCGTTTCACAGCAGGGAAGGGGCACAGTCAGCAACCTCTGGGGTGTGGCCCTGTTCTCTTGCCCACCTTCCCCAACTCCTTTAACCAGGTGCTTCCCTCCCAGAGTGAGCTACATCTTGGGAGGAACGCAGCAGGGAGGTGGCAGCATCCAGAGTCCCTGACTGGCTCGGACACAGGCCCAGGGGTCAAGGCATTTGCCCACCAGAATGCAGTCTGGAAGGCACAGTGTAGCCAAACCCTCTTATCCAACTCCAGGCCCAGACCCCTCAGCAGTGCCTGGTGGAGGAGCCCGACAGGGCGTCACTGGTGAGAGCGGAGGGGAGAGCAGAAAGTGATCTGGGCTGAGGGTGAAACCCGAAGCCGCCGTGGCTGTGGAGGTCAGATGGGAACTGGGAAGAACTGGGCATGAATCCTGAATGGTGGGGAAACGTGAAACCATCACAACCAAGATGGGTTCCATGACACCGCCCTGAGGTGAGCAGTCCCAGACTCCTTTGCCCCCAGTAGGGAAGCCCCACTGACCTGACTGGTCCCCGCGAAGAGAGGCCCCACTTTTGAGTGTTGTGTGTCAATAACAGTGTTGTGTCACTGGTGGTCATGTTGATTAGTTGAAGAGAATAAAGGGAATACGATTTCCCGGGTGTTTTTTGTCTTTTTTCTTCCAGCTGACAGCAAGCTGAAGCTGCTTGTCCTCTCCCAGAGTCAGGGCCCATGAGTGACTGCAAAAGCTCGGCCCAGCCCCAGGCCCATCCTTTACCCAGGGGCCCGAAAGTCCCTGTCCAGTGCTTGCTGGTGGGATTTATGAAGTTTTAAAATCCACACTCCGGGCCGGGCGCGGTGGCTCACGCCTGTAATCCTAGCTCTCTGGGAGGCCGAGGCAGGCGGATTGTTTGAGCTCAGGAGTTCGAGACCAGCCTGAGCAAGAGCGAGACCCCGTCTCTACTAAAATTAGAAAGAAATTAATCGGACAGCTAAAAATATATAGACTGTAGTCCCAGCTACTCGGGAGGCTGAGGCAGGAGGATGGCTTGAGCCCAGGAGTCTGAGGTTGCTGTGAGCTAGGCTGACGCCACGGCACTCTAGCCAGGGCAACACAGTGAGACTCTGTCTCAAAAAAAAAAAAAAAAAATCCACACTCCGGGCGGTGGGGAGAAATCTGATGAGATGGTGGCGGAGCCAAGTAGTTTGCCGGTGTCTGGCTTCCACACCAGCACAACATGCTGACTGCTGAGTGGCTACCTGGTGACTCTGGCACTGGCCAGCTCAGGCACAGCTGTGCGGCCCCAGGGAGCCCTCTCTAGCCACGACACCCACACCCTCCCCAGGGTGCCAGAGGGGAAAGCTCATGGATCTAGTTTCAGAAGCTGGCAGCCACCTCTCCCAGTTCACTTGGATCCTGGGCCTGGCTGAGCCCTCCTCTGGACCAGGGCCTCCTATACCGTGAGGAGAGGTGGGTGGAGACCTGGCCTGTCATCTCACTCAGGATGTCAGCCCATAGTCCCACATCGTGTGGAGAGGCTCAGAGAAAGACAGCCACTTGTCTAAGAGCCACGGCAAGTTAGCAAGGGAAACCAGAATGGCCAGGAGCCTTTCCTCCCAGGCCTGCCAGTGCTGTATCTTCTGGGACTAGGCCTGGCCATGGCCCCTGAGCAGCTGCCTGAGGTCAGCGCTTACTCTAGCCTGTCACCTGCCTCTGCCGCTGTCTGCTGGGGGAATCTTGCCCCACCAGGAAGGTATCCCCCACCTTTCCTGTGCCTCTCTCAACCAGACCCCAGGGCAGGCTCACTGGCTCCTTCCCTTTCCTCACCTGGAAAGGAGCACGAATGTGAGGAGGGACTTGCCCTTCATGGAGAGGTGAGTAATGAAGGCTACTCCACATTTCCTATGATCCCAGCCCTGGAGACACTGAGGTACATCAGAACTAGTCCCAGTGCTGGAGCAGTCCTCAGTAAAGTGAGGGGACTACAGGGACAGAGCAAGCACTGGAGCATAGTGATTGGTCCAGAGACTTAACAGAAGGGCTGTGGACCCAGAGATGGTGCCTGCCACAGCAGAGGCCGGGAAGCTTGCTGGAGGAAGTGACGCAAGGGATGAAGGTTGCAGGAATAGGGAAGAGTGTGTAGGGGCCAGGAGTGGGATGGGGGGCAGAGGGTGTTTAACAGTTGGGTATGGGCTTAGAGCACAGAGGGGACTGAGGGAAAGTAAAAGTAGAGAAACTAGAGTGTGGAGCATCTTGAGCTGGGAAAACAGTTGCCATTGCGGGATTTTTAAGAGTGACATGATTTTCTGATGCTCCCCTGCCCGAGTGAATAGTGGTGATTTTCCAGGTCTGGAGCTCAAAAAAGAGAACTGGACTGGAGAAACTGGGTCTTAGCAGCTTAGCTGTAGCCATGGCCATGAATAAACACTCCCAGGGAGAGTGGCAAAGTAGAAAGGGGGTCTAGCTTAGGGGTGGAGGAAGAGGACCAGCAAAAGACAGCATGAGAAAAACCAGGAGAGTGTAGCGTCACAGGACCTAAGGGAAGTTTAGAGATCATGGTCAATGTTACATGCTCCATTGGCCAATAGGTAGCAGCCCTGGTTCTGGCTGAAACAGGCATATCCACCATTGATAACAACATCTGTTCACCTCACAGAAGCTGGCCAAGGTCAAGGCTGGCCCAGGAGGAGTTGCTTGGCCCATTGCCACTGAGACCACTGGGACTACTGGGGCTAATAAGGGGTCAAATTTCCTGGTGGAGGGGCCTGACCAGCCATTAAGGCAGACCCTCCGAGCACCCACAGGCTCATGGGAAACCAACCCTTGAGTCTTCTGTGTTCCTGCCACCTTATCAGTAATCAGTGCTTGCATAGATCACTAAGATCTTGGAAGTTTTATCCCATTCCCTTGCGATTGAACTTGAGAAAGTGGTTTGACGCCTGCTTTACTATTAGGAATGAGGACTCACAGGAGGTTTTAGCCCCTTTGACATGGAGACCGGCCTTTACAGAAGATATCTAGGGAGGCGATGTACAGTTACTTGCATTTACTTAAGGAGCCTGTGCGAAGGTGATTCCCGGGAAAAAGGATCGTGCTCACAAAGGATTGGCTGACCTCCACCCGTGCCCTGGGTCGCAGCGCTCCTTTGAGGCTCATCTGCTCTGGGGGCGCAGGTGGCCACATCTCTATGATGTAATATCCTGCGTTTTTCCCACCCTTGCCACCACTGCCTCCCGGCCGCGGACACTTCCTTGGCAGCCCGATGTCATCTCCCGCCGCGGCCCGTGCTTCAGTGAGCGTGCCCACCGCCAGCCCTGTTCCCGAGGTCAACGCAGCCCGCGTCTCCATCTCCAGTCCAATCAGGTCCAGCTGCTGCGGCCCCGCCGAAAC